CCCCCGCCCCCCTCCGCGGCCGGCCCTCTCACCGTGCCGGCAGAAGCGACCCTCCCAGCCCCGGCCGCAGTAGCAGCGGAAGGCGCTGATGCCGTCGATGCACGTGCCGTGCCCGCAGCACGGGCTGTCGCACGGGTGCTCCGGGGGTAGGGCCGCGCACTGGTCCCCGTCTGCGACATGGGAGGAGGGGCGTCACTGGTGCCGCCAGCCCCCTCCCCGTCCCTGCAGCGGCCCAAAGAACCCGAGGGTGTTAGGGGCACCGCAGCCCGGGATCTAGAGCGCACTCACCGACGTACTTGGACCAGTAGGTCAGCTGTGGAGAAAAGGGACAGGGTCAGAGGCCATCCTCCCATGTATAAGTACTGGGGAGCCCAGGGGCGCCTCCTGAGTCTGGCCCACGTGGGGCAGGGGAGGGAAGGGCTTCTGGACAAAGAGGGGTCTACCCCTGCTTGTTGCCAGCCGCTGGGGCAACTGCACTCTGAGCAGGCCTACAGTCCTCCTTGCCCCCTGCTGCCCATCTCCACCCCACATCCCAGGCACCTCCCCCCCCCCCCCTGCAATGCGGCTGGAAGCTTGCTCTCTGGACGGTCTGTGACCACAACAGCCTTTACACTGGAAGGGACCCAAATCTCCCACCCAGCTGCTCTGCCTCCTTCCAGCCTCCATCACTCCTTTAGGCTTCTCTGGACCTCTCATGGATGTGATCTTTCCCTGAGCCATGTTCTCAAAGTGGAGACCTTGTTGGTTAGAAGTTGATTGCTGATTTAGAAGGTCTGCTTGTCCAGCTGAGGCCCTGCTGCTGCTGCTGGTCTGGGACCATCCAGCCTGATGGTCCCTTTAGCAGTGGCTCTGCCCTGCTGGGCCTGGGAGAACTTAGGGTAAGGTGCTCAGATTGTGGCTGCAGAAAGTCCTTTGGGCATCTGTTGAGGAGCGCATTTGGGAAAAGAGGCAGTGGGGATCTAGGCAAGGAGGTAGCCGCTGAAAAGGCAGACCAGAATTCCCCCCTTAGCCTTGGAAGGAAGGGCATCCCTATAGACAGCTTAGAAGGGGACCCCAGGTAACAGCACAAATTCTGGTCCTAGTAGCTCAAGTAAGCCCTTGGGGATGGAGTGGGTCCAAGCCTTGTATCGGATAGCCACCTCCTTTCCCAGTCCATCCTTCCACCTCAGCGCTGCCACCACGGGGCCCTGGGAGCCAGAGAGGACATGAACTCTTCCCTCTGATTCCCTGAGCAATCAGATTTTGCCTCTCGAGAATTTGAACTGAGGCACAGAGGGAGTGTATATAGACATCAGGGAGTCTTGGGTCACACAGCCCCTGACCGGCAGGTGCTTGGCTGGAAGCAGAGAGGGTGGCATTTTGGTCACAGAGAACAGGGGGACATAGCAGTGGCCAGTTGTGGGCAGAGGACGGGCTGAACTTCCTCCAGTGGGGTTGTTGGGAATCCCAGCTTCCCCAAACTCCTATTCCTGGAGCTAATTGCAGAGTTCTGTTCCTTGCAGTCACATGTGCCCTGACCAAGACTGTAGGGCCAGCGTCCTCTTCATTCCACTCGCACACCCCCGCCCCCCCGAGTGAGCTGGATGGAGAAGGGGCTGGTGCCCACTGCCTCCCCCGACTCCTAAGAGGGCCTCAGCAGTGGGGCCCCAGCTTGCTCCTCCAGACCCCTGCTGGCCACCAGCCTGCCCCTGAGGCTCGTCCTCTGCACCCAGCCAGATGGCCTTACTGTGTCATCCACATTTTGGAAAATCTCCTGGGCCTCCTCGAAGTCACAGATCTCCTCTATGCACTCCCGCTCCAGGCTGCCTGCCCGGATCTCCTCTAGGAAGGAGTTGGCACGCTTGTGGATCCGCAGAACCTGGTGGGCCCTCTTGCTGCTGGAGAACACTGAGTCTGGTTGGGGGGGAGGGGAAGCTCATTGGGGGGAGGGGCCTGGGGTGGGGGCCACTCTGTGGTGAGTCCCAGGAGATATTTTTGTCTTGGGCCCTCAGGCCTTAAAGCTCCCCTGCTCCTCTGCTCTCTTCCTCCACACACAGCAGATGGCCAGCCTTGGAAGACAGGAGACTTGGCCATTCAGAGTACATGCGCTGGACAGAGAGCCCTCCCTTTGGACCCAGCCTGACCTCTGTGTGACCTTGAGCCAGTGCCTTTGCCTCTCTAAACTTCAGTTTCTTCGCGCAACCCTGAGGATGAGATAATGGTGCCAAGCCGCGCAGTGTCTGACCTAGGAATGAGCACCCAGGGACGCGTGTTGGCTGGATGTTGGGGTTATTACCAGGCCTGCAAGGTTCACTCTGTCTCGTTGCTCTCGAGTCCCCCTGTACAACCCTATCTTGCCGCTGTCCCGCCTCCCTCCGCTCCCCTCCTTGGCCTCCCCCAAGTGGAGCATTTCTCCTGCCTTCCCATCTAGCGGGCAAACCAGGAGGACGGCAGCCCTGTCTCAAAGATCAAGAAGCTCAGGAAGGGGCTCAAATGCTATAGCAGCAGCCGTGCGCCTCCAGGAGCCTCGGGGCGGGGCCTGCTAGAAGGTACTGGCACTCATTCCCCCTCAGACCTCCCAGGCACCCTGGCTTCCTCCTGTGGGGGGGGGGGGAGGTGGCAAGGGAGGGGTGGAGCGGGGCAGTCCCTGCACTCGAGCCTTGGAGGATAGGCTGCCCTGCGGTGGCGTGGGTGCTGGCCAGGCCCAGCTTTGGCACTTACGGGACTGGGTGGGTGGAGGGGAAAGGCCCAGGGGACTGTGTGGGGCACTCCCAGACTGGAGGAAGGAGCTTCAGGACATGCCCCCACCCCGGGGGCTCCTTGAGGTCACCACAGTACTCTGTCATCACAGTAACCGCCCCCCCCCACCGGCCCCTGCCCAGCGGGGGCACCTGCTGAATTCCAACAGGGGACTGTCAGGCAGTTCCTCCCCACGGTGCCTCTCGTGTCACACTGAGGCTCAGAAGAGATGCTGCACGGGGTGGGGGCCTCGTGCGGCGCCAGAGAGGGTCTCGTGAGGACCCCGAGGGCCCCAGGGAAGGGGGACAGTGGCCTTACCAGGAGGAACTGGTGTGCCGGAAGTTCCCCAGATGGTCACCAACAGTAAGAGGCTTGCGAGCTGCCACATTCTGGAGTTGCTGCCACCTGTCTGAGGAGGACTTCTGAGCTTCCAACAGCCCCACTGGCCCCTGCTCTGCCTGCCGCCCCGGCGCCAGATGGGAGCTGACTGCAAGGGCTGGGGCTGGGGCTGGTGGTCCCTGTTCACTAGACGGACAGCCGCTGATGCCTCAGTGTCCTTGCCTGTGTGGGGCTAGGATCACAGCAGCTGCCCAGCATCGGAGGGCTGAAGAGAAAAAGTGGAAAGGGCACGGAGTCCTGGGGAAGATCAAAGGGGACTCAGCACAAAAGGGCCATGGCAGGTGTCCTCTCTTGCCCTGTTCTTTGAGGGTCAGGGGGTGGTGCCTTTGCTGATCTAATGGCCAGGCTGAGAGGCATACCTAACATTTATCAGACATTCATGGCGTTTTTCAAGCAATTTATACGTGGTTCAGAAGGCAGGACACCAAAGTCAGACCACTTGGTGCAAATCCCAGCTCTGGGACAGCAACACTGGGCAAGATACCTAACTGTTCCATGCCTCAGTTTCCTGGTTAGAAAAACTGTGTTTCTGCCTTATAGGGTTATTGTGAGAATTAAATGAGTTAACCCACATAATGCTCTTAAGACGGGGTTTGTATACAGCAAATGCTCAGGAAATATTAGCTTTTATTATCTCAGTTAAAACTCATAACGCCCACGAGGGAGGTATTAATGTCATCACCCCATTTTATAAAGGGTGGTCACATTGAAGCTTAGAGGAGGGAAATAGCTTATTGAAAACCCACAACCAGGACGTGACAGAGCTAGGACCTGAGCCCAGGCCTATGTGGCTCCAGGCTTGGAATCTTAACCCCTGCCCCAAACTACCGGGTGCCCCACAAAGCCCCAGAAGTAACCCTGCTGGCTGTAAACGGAGGAGGAGGGAGCCCTCCACTGCCTCCAAGCCCGAGGGCTAGGCCTGCCTGCCCCACCTGCAACCTCCCCCACTCCATCTGACATCACTTTCTGTCTTCACTGACTCCCCCGGAGACTGTTTCTGACATTTGTTTAGATCAGACACCCTAGGTTTAGAGGTGGGGGTGAGGTGGGGAGAATGGGGAGTCCTGGGCTCCAAGCTGCCCCTGACGATGTCCCTTGGCCCTGGCGGCCCTCAGACCACTTCCACTTGCCTCCAAGTCTGGGAAAAAGGCCCCTGGGGACTGTGGCACCCAGGCCTGAGGAATGCCAGCCGACGTCCTGGCCTGGCCCGTGGCAGAGCCCTAATATCCCATTAGCCCAAGCTCTAGCCAGCGTCTGGAACCCTGGCTGGAGCATTCGACCTTCACATCTGCTCATCCCTCCTCCATCCCCTGTCACAGACCTGCCATGAAGGGGACTTACTGGGGTGGGCCAGGGAGAAACTGCAGGGTCGCCGTCCCACTGCCATGACAGCCTGAACCGGGCGTGAGTTAATCCATAACCTCAAATATTTGCTTGGCCCTCAGTGCTGAGGCCTCCCCCTCCACAGATAAACAAACAGCCTCCCAGCTCTGGATGGCCCTGTTTGCCCAAAGCCCACCTTTGTCCCCCAGTTGGTGCCATCCAAGAGGGAGGGCGGGGAGGGATGGGCGATTGTCAAACTGTCTACAGATGAGGTCTCATTTTGGCCTCAAAGGTGGTTGGCTGAAGGAGGGACATTGTGTCTATGTGGCAGATGGGGACATTTTTACCCAGAGATATTGCAGTTTTCCCCAGATCAGCCCAACTGGTAATGATTCCATATTTCACCAAACCTAGGATGCCATTAATTATAAGATGCACCTATTTTATGTGGCAGTAACACTGTCAATTACACAGGGACGCAATGTCCCGATTTCCAATTTTCATGATGAAAAGATACCCCTCTCAGGGTCCCTGCCACGTGAGCGCTGGCCACTCAGCTCGACCCTCGGCTCCAGTAGCTCCTGTAGCTGCCCGCACAAGGGCACGTGGCTACTCCCATAATCTCTACTTTGCAGATGAGGACCCTCAGAAATCTCTTATTAGCTGCCCAAATTCACCAAGCTGCGAAGTGGCCGGCCTGGCGTCGACTCAGGTCTTCCTGGCACCTCTTGGCCACCTTTGCAAACAAGTGAGAAAAACAAACCTGGTTCTGGAAAGGCTGCTGTCAGTCCGTGGCTGGGACGCTGGGGAAGAGAAGGACAGAAGTACAAGGTCCAGCTTGAAGCCTTGGCGCCAGTCCTTAAGTCTGTCGACATTTATTAGGCATCTCACGTTCCTGTACCTGCTGTGAGGGCTTGACCACACCCCTCAAAGCCCAAGCTCCTTCAGGGGTCATGTGACCCTGTCCCGCTGGCCTCCAGGCCTGCCCAGGAAAGTCGCCTGACCCAGGGGTCAATCCAGTTCTCCACCCCAGCCCGCAGGAGTAGGGCCTCGGAGCCCTCGTTCCACTGTGAGCACTGGACTGGGGAGATTCTGAAGCCCAGAGCCCGGGCATCCATGTTTGGGCCCAAAGCAGAGGAAACTGAGGAGGAGGAAGACAGACGCAGGAGAGAGGCTGAGACAGGAGACCTTGGACACTCAGGAGTGGGAGGGAGCCGCAGGGGCAGGCCCCTACCCTCCAGGGTGGGCACATCCTGGCTCTGGGCTCATGAGGGTCCCCTGCCCTCCTAGGAAACCCCCTCTTCCCTTAAGTTGCCTTAAATTGACTGGGGCAGCTTGTGTTCCGTAGGACAGGCCCGCAGCCGCCGGAGAAGGCAAGAGGAGCAGGGCGAAGGAACGAAGGGACGTCACACAAGCTGGGGTGGCCAGGGAAGGCTGCCTGGGTGAGGTGGAGCTTCAGCTGGAGGTCCCAGGGCAGGCAGGACCCGGGAATAGAGGAAGGGCCCTGAGGAGGGGAGGGAGGGGAGGCACAGGAGACCCAGAGCGGGGAAGCAGAGGAGAGGGTGAGAGGGAGGGGAGGAGGAGATAATGGAGTTTGGAGTGCAGCCTGGGGCAAGTGGGGCGCCAGCGGCTGTCTTGCGAGGGGCTGCGGCGGCCGCCTCGGGAAGGGGCCGGGCGGTCTTCGCAGGTCAGGCAGGAAGCTCGGAGTCCGTGCGCTTGGCCACACAAGAGGGCAGCTCGGCCGCCCCGGACCTCGTAAATGCCTCCGGCGCCCACGTTCTCGCTCTATAGGCGGCCTCCCTGTGAGTCCGCCGCAGATGCCGTCCTGGGCTCTCCTCACGCGCACTTACTTCCCGCTGCCCCCTTCGCCAGGCTCTCTGGCTGTTCCCTGGGGCTCCGTCCTCCTTGCCTTCCCCCCCCCACCAGACTCCTCACCTGCCACCTGCCCTCCAGCTGGCAGCGGCGATCGGTTCCACGGGACGTCTACGTAGGGTCCACACACTGATCCTGAAGGTGGATGAGGGACTGTGTCTGAGGCCCCCACATCCAAGCCCGCCCAGACGCCCAAAGCACCGGCAGCCAGAAGTGCCAGGGCAGCTGCAGGGGGAGAGGTGACCAGTGTGGGGGTCTGGCCAGGCCTTGAAGGCTGCCCGGAGCGGGGGCAGGAGGGCTCCTCTTGCTTGTTGGCCGGCTGGGGCACCTGAGCAGGGGTGCCTTCCTCAGGCCTCCTTCCCGGGGGGCAGCGCAGGGAATGCGAGCCACCTCCCTGAAGCAGGGATGCTCCCCGCCACCAGCTGCTCCCCAGGTTTGTGCTGGCTGAACGGCTGCCATCCTCCGGGAGAGTGCGGCCAGGAATCCAGGTGTCTGTGCTCACTGGCAACAGGTTCCAGCTGGGGGGACCACTGCTCTGGTCCCTTGGGAGGGTGCAGGCTGCCCTTCCAAGGGGCGGCCTCGCCTGGCTGCTTGGCCGCTGCTCATTTGCCTTGTCTGACGCTGGGGTTTTCCTTCCCAGATGTGAGTCAGCCCTGTTGGGCCTGAATTCAGTCAGGCCCACTCTCCCGATGCCAGAGCAGGACTTTGGCGTCACAGCCAGCCATGATTCAGAGAGCGGAAGGACGTCTGTGTGCAGGGAACGGACTGCATTTGTGAGGACGTGGGCAGAGGACTAAGAAGCAAAGGTGTGGGGTTCCGGGTGAAGGGGGAGAGGAGTTTGCGGGGAGGGCTGCAGAAAGAAAGCCAAAACTAGGAGATGGCATCAAGCAGTGGGGTATTCAAAAACCTCATCTTTGATGTCAGGCTCACACAGGTTTATTGTTTTTTAATTAATTAATTTATTTATTTTTAAGATTTTATTTATTTATTTGAGAGAGAGAGAGAGCACCAGCAGAGTGAGAAGCAGACTCCCTGCTGAGCAGGGAGCCCGATGCGGGGCTCGATCCCAGGATCCTGGGATCATGACCTGAGTGGAAGGCAGATGCTCAACCGACTGAGTGACCCAGGCGCCCCCTCACACAGGTTTAAACTTCAACTTTGTTCCTTCCCTCAGCTTCAGTTTCCACATCTGTAAAATGAGGCCAATAATAGTGTGCGCCCCAGGTGGTTGTTATGAGGGTTCAATTAAATATTTTCTACAAGGTGGACAGAGACTTAGGTGATCAACCAACAGCAATGTCCTCTCTTGACTCCCCAAGTATCCTAGAGAGAAAGTGAGGTACCACATGAAGCTTTGTGAGGATCAGCCACCCGGGGAAAATGGGTGCCCCCCCCTTTCATGAATGCCTGTGAAGGCATGGGGGAGGTGACCCAGGAGGGGGACAGGAAGGGCCAGCTGCTGTCTGTGCAGCCACCGGCTCCGAGTATCCAGGGCCCCCGCACTCCCCAGGGCTGGGGTGTGCTCTTATCCAGCACTGGCCCCCAATCTCGAATCTCAAATAGAATCTCGTAGAACCTCAGCTACCTCTCCTGATCAGGGGGTGGGATGGAGGGCTCACAGCACTGCCGCTGGCGCTCACCCCAGGCCCGCTCCTTGGTGGGCGTCTTGTCCATTCTCCCTGCTGGGGAAGGCCTGGAGCTGCTCAGGGCTCAGCCCAGGGAGGCCAGGGAACAGAGAAACCAGAGGCTCTGGGGAGCCCCCTCCCACACTGGGAAGAAGAGGAGGTGGATGGATGCAGCCAAGGTCAACAGCACTACACATTGAATCTTTTTTTTTTAATCAGGTTTGAGGAATAATATACATACAATAAAATTTGCTTTTTAAATATTCAGTTCTGTTGTTTAGACAAATGTATGTAGTAGCGTAACCACCACCACAGTTAGGATTATAGGACATTTCTGTCACCCTCAGAAGTTCCCTGTGCCCCACTGCCACCCTGGCAACTGTTGATCTGGTTTCTGTTGCTTTCTCTAGAATGGCATATAAATGGAATCCTACAGTATGTAGCCTTTTAGGACTGGCTTCTATCACTCACCAAAGCTTTTGAGATTCTTCCATGTGGATGTGTGTATCAGTAGTTTCTATAGCTGAGTAGTTTCCATTATATGGATATACCACAATTGGTTACCCATTCACCACTTCTTGGCTATTATTAAATAAAGCTACTGGAACATTCATGTACAGGTCTTTGTGTGGATATGTTTTCATGTCTCTTGGGCAAGTCTCTAGGAATGGGACTGCTGAGTCATGTGGTAAGTACATTTATTTCTATTAAAAAACAAAAACAAACTGTTATATAAAGTGGCTGTACCATTTTGCATTCCCACAAGCAAAATATGAGTGTTCCAGTCGTTCTGCATCTGCTCCAGCACTTGCGTGGTCAGTTTTTTATTTTGTTATTTTTGGCCATTCTAATAGGTGTGTGGTAGGATCTCATTTCATTTCCCCAGTCACTAATGATGTTAGTCATCTTTTCATGTGCCTAGTTGCCATTCATATATCCTCTTTGGTGATGTGGCTGTTTCAATATTTGGCCTGTTTTTTAAAATTGAGGGTTTTTTTTTTTAAAGATTTTATTTATTTGAGAGAGAGAGAGTGCAAGAGTGGGCGGTGTGGCAGAGGGAGAGAGAGAATCAGACTCCCAGGCAAACAGGGAGCCCAGGACCCGGGACCATGACCTGAGCGGAAGGCAGATGCTTAACCGACTGAGCCACCCAGGCACCCCGGTCCTTTGCATTTGTATACACATTTTAGACTCAGCTTGTCAATTTCTTTAAAACCTAAAAAAAGCTTGCTGGGATTTTGAATGGTACTGAGTTGATTCTATAGAACAATCTGGAGAGAAGAGACATCTTACTGGTGGGTCTTTTGGTCCGTTAGCCTGGTATTCCCATTTAGGTCTTTGTTAACCTGTCTCCCCAATGTTTGATAGTTCTTAGTATATAGATCTTGAACATATTTTGATAAATTTATCCCTACTTATTTTATGTTTTTTTAATGCTATTGTAAATGGCATTTTTACATATTTCAATTACAATTTTGTGTTGCTAGTATATAGAAATACATTGATTGTTTTATATTGAGACTTATTTTTTCAGTTTTACTGAGATAAAACTAACATATAACATTGTATTAGATATAAAGGCATACAATATGATTTAATATATGTATACATTGCAAAATGATTACCACATTAAGTAGAGTTGACATCCATCACCTCACATAGTTACAATTTTTTTCTTGAGAAATTTTTTTTTAATATTTTATTTATTTGACAGAGAGAGAGCACAAGCAGGGGGAGCGGGAGAGGGAGAAGCAGCCTCCCCGCTGAGCAGGGAGCCCAATGTGGGACTCGATCCCAGGACGCTGGGATCATGACCTGAGCCGAAGGCAGACCCTTAACCGACTGAGCCACCCAGGCATTCCGAGATGAGAATTTTTTAAATCTACTGTCTTCATGACTTTCACAAATACAATACAGAATGGTTAACTCTAATTACCATGCTGCACATTACATCCCCAGAACTTATTTATAACTGGAAGTCTGTACCCTTTGACCACCTTCCCTCTCGTCCCCCACCTCTGGTAACCACTAATCCGTTTTGGTTTTTTTTAAGGATTTTATTTATTTATTTGTCAGAGAGAGAGATGGAGAGAGAGAACACAAGCGGGGGGAGCAGGCAGAGGGAGAAGCAGGCTCCACACTGAGCAAGGAGCCCGATGCAGGACTTGATCCTAGACCCTGGGATCATGACCTGAGCCGAAGGCAGACGACCCATAGCATCCCTACTCGTCTGTTTTTGAATCTATGATGAACTCATAGATTTTTACGCTCCACATGTAAGTGAGATCATACAGTATTTATCTTCGACTTATTTCTTGATTCCACAAGCATGTGCTGGTGTGACTGACCATCCTAGTTTGTCTGGGACTGTTCTGACTTTAGCCCTAAAAGCCCTACATCTGGTAAACTCTACCCTCGGATGAGAAAACTCCCAGTTTTC